TATTGGAGAATTATTAATAAATTGAACGATACCTAAGTTTAAGTTTGTATCCCCCGAACCAAAACTCTAGCTTTGAAGGTTATTCGTAATTGAGTATCGTTCACAGAGGCATGATGAAACAAGAGTGTAAGAACAGAAGGGCGGTCTGCGCTGAGACAAGAACTAGATGATCGCTCGCAGGCTTGATTACCTACTAGCAATCTTCTCTCATGGTAGACGGTGTCTTCGGCGAGTTACATGTGCTTGACTTACAAACACCGTTTTATCACTCCTTCTCTTATTAAGTCCACACTCGCTCCCAAGACACTTATCACACATCTCAAGCTTGCAATTGCAATCAATTGTGATCAATTACATGGAGTATATATTGCGCATGTGTCAGTGACACCGAGGAGAAAATCACGGTTGGAATCGTATCCGTTATGCAACGCTTATAACTTTTTCACTAACATCCTATAAGGACCTCGCAAGACCTGTATACTCACGGCCACAGCCGATTCATCATATGCGCAATGACTTAGCTCAACGACATTAATATCACATACTAGGTGGATCAAACGCACTTCCTCTACCTTGGCTTCCACCTTAGGCCAAACACATTACCTTGTCCACGGCTTATTGATTCATCATCTGATAAGTATTGACCTGCAATTTCAAACATGGGTGGTTTGCTTTGAACTTTTCTTACTTAAATATGATACCTCACAATGGACATCCTAACTAGGTCTTTCCTGTCGGAAACGAAAAGAAAAAAAAAAGACGCAGGACGGCGGTTGATATACAGTTATTAGGTCACCTGCTTTACTTCTTATTCTATTAGGAAGATCATTGAGATGAGTGTCGACATAGAGTCGACGGCTGACGCAGCCCTGGGGAACAACTTGAATAGCGACGACAATCCATCACCACCCCACAACAGCCCGGTCGACATCGAAGAACTTGGAAGATGCAGACCTGATATCTTCGCGAACGGCTGGGTAGAGATTGGATTTTGTGTCTCTGTCCTTGGCTCGGTAATGATGGCGGAGTTCCTCGTGAGCGGGTTTAGCGTCCTACTCCCAGTTCTCATCAAAGATACTGGGATCGACCCTAATCAGAGGACCTGGCCTGTCACTGTCTTCTCTCTTGTCACCGGCTCGTTATTGTTACCATTCGGTCGGCTCACCGACATGTTTGGCGGTTTCCCGGTTTACCTTAGCGGACTCATATGGCTGATGTTGTGGACGATAGTGGGTGGTTTTAACCGTTCCTTGCCTGCCGTACTGGCGACCCGGGCTCTCCAAGGCGTAGGAGCGGCGGCATTCTTGCCTGCTGGCACGACCTTACTCGGAACCACTTACCGTCCCGGCCCGCGAAAGAATACGGTATTCAGTTTATACGGGGGTTGTGCGCCACTTGGGTTCTTCTCCGGCATTATCATTGCCGGCCTTACCGGCGAACTCGTCTACTGGGGCTGGTTCTTCTGGATCGCATCTATTCTGCTGGCCGTTCTATGCACCCTCACATTCTTTTGCGTCCCTCGTGAGTGGAAGCGGTGCAGCTGGTCTTCGATGGATTGGTGGGGATGCTTAACCAGCGTGTGTAGTTTCAGTTTGCTCACATATGCCATTACGGAAGCTTCTCACGTTGACAAGCATTGGGCGTCGCCTAGAATATTCGTCACTTATATACTAGGCTCCATCGCCCTCGCTGCTTTTGTTTATATCGAAGGATGGGTTGCAATGTCTCCCTTGCTACCTTTCAACTTATTCACGATCAAGTATATCGGTCCACTCTTCCTCGCCCTCTTCTTCGCGTGCGGCTCTTTTAGCATATATCTTTTTTATGCGAGCTTCTAGTAAGTTAAAAGCCCAGAAACAGCTCAAGGTAATCCAACGCCTAAGGAACTAACAATTACTAGCATCCAGACTATCCTCGCTATCAAACCACTGCTCGCCGCAGTCTGGTTCGCCCCTATGGCTGCCGGCGGAATCATTATCGCCCTTGTTGGTGGGGTTACACTCCACCGATTGCCGGGAACTATCCTGCTTCTCCTATCCGGAACCGGCCTTGTTTTGTGCTCTCTCCTCTTCGCTCTCCTGCCGGAGAATCCCAATTACTGGGCATGGGTATTCCCGGCGATGGTGTGCAGCACAATAGGTATCGACATCGGGTTTAATGTCAGCAGTATCTTCATAACTACGAACGTCCCCAAGAATCAACAAGGCCTAGCTGGGGCGTGTATCAATGGGTTAAGCTATCTAGGCATTAGCTTCTTCCTCGGTTGGGCCGACTTTGCGGTCGCTAGTGAGTCGACCAATGGGTTAAGTAGGAGTTATAAGGTCGCTTTCTGGTTCGCCGCCGGGTGCGGAGCCGTGGTTATCCTGCTCGTCCTAGGATTCATCAGGATTGGTAAAGCAAAGAGCGACTTCACGGTAGAAGAGAAGGCTCGGCAACAAGATCCTAACCCCGAAAATGAAGGGTTAATGCTAGAGGCGGCGGAAAACCTGCGAGAATAATGCTTTGGTTACCTACTTAATATCAAATACTTACCCAGGTAAGTATCTCCATCGTTTATATGATCTAAGGTACATGCAGTAGTAAATCATACAGTTATTAGCAGCCTAGGATAGGAGTAAACAAATAGTTAAGCGTATTCATAACGTCGGAGGTGGCTCTTATTTCGTTAAGGTGACTTCTAAATTTCTGGAAAAAAGCTACCTACCTGGTATCTAATAGATATACCACACCATTCAAGAATCACTATGCACCAGGTAATATTCGTCGAAAGGAACCTATATCCAATTCATCTATCCACTAACATGCCTCAGGTTCTTTAGTGAAGAATAATTCCGTCGTTTATGATAATCTAGTCAGCGTATATTCTACCTATATATTCAGGACATAATCGTCTAACTCTAAGTAGTAACTCCGTTCTTCCGTTCTTTTGCCCTTTGACGGTCCCGTTTCTCTTTTCTCCACCGGATTCCATTCTTCATAACCATGAATATCATCGGCGAGAAAGCGATGTATATGAAGCCGAGAATCGAAAACGCCCACCCGATGCCAACCCCGTTTATCATGGGTCCGATCACCGCAGTCGCCGCCGCGCCAACCAAGCACCTGGTTAGGTTATTGCTCGCAGTAGCCGCGCCCGCTTTTCCCGGATTCACGTCGACGAGCAGGACGTTGACCGCGTTGCTGAACCCGACCACGGCCCAGCCGGCTATGAACAGCAGGACGCACGGCACGGCCACGTGGGCGCGGTATTGGAACGCCCAGCCCCAGCCGAAAGTAACCAGGATAGTGATCACGAGCATGGGAACGCCGATCTCGAGCCTCGCGCGCTCGATGGGGAAGTCGGCGAGGTCCTGCTGCTTGCTGCGCTCGAAGGGGACGCCGCGCAGCCGGCAGTGGCGGCGGTAGTTCCAGTTCATCAGCTTGCCGTTGACGAAGGCGGCGCCCATGCTGCCGCCGACCATGGGCAGGTACATGAGCCCGATCTGGATCTCGTCGAAGCCGTAGTTGGCGCCCAGCTGCGTCGGCATGACCGTCGCGATGCAGTAGAAGCCCGTGAAGATGACGCTGCCGTACGACAGCAGCACGAACATCTCCTTCTCCGCCAGGATGATGACGGACTGCCATATGTTGAACTTGCCGACGCGCAGGCTGCGCCGCGTCGACGTGCGCGACGCCGTGTGCGCTAGCGAAGCGCCGCTAGCTTTCTTGTTGCGCCGTCGTTTGAGGGAGTCTTTGCAGAGTTGCCAGCCCGTGCGGTAAGCCGGGTGCGGGCGTATCGACCCATCTCCCACGATCTCGCGACACGTCTCCGGCAGGAAAAACGCGTGTAAGATAAGCACGACTCCGGCCAGGATGGCGAGGAGCCAGAATATCCATCGCCAGCCGACGAACTGGGAGAGGATTCCGCCGACGATGGGCCCCACGGCGGGCGCCAAGAGAATGGGCAATGAAGTGTACCCTACATAGTGGCCTCGCTCGGCCGAGGTGATGATGTCGGCGACGACAGCTTGGCACAAAGCCACGGTCGTGCTGGACCCCGCGGACTGCAGCATGCGCAGGACCAGCAGGGCCGGGTAGCTGGGCGCGAGCGCGCACCCGATGTTCGCGCAGATGTAAATTACGAAGCAGATGAAGTACGCCGGACGCCGGCCCGCGGTATCGGCCAGCGACCCGACGAACATCGGCGTGATGCCTTGGAATATCTATAGGGTCGGGGATGTCAGCGATCTCGGCTTGATCTCCGACGAATCATGTTAAGATATGAGAAACCTTAGTGGGCTGGCATTTTGGAGTGTTTGTGCATTAGAGAGGGGATGGAGAAGGGGGAAGTACCATGTAAGTCGTCACAGTCAGGTTGATCTGGCTGACCGTGACGTGGAAGTCGGCCGCCAAGACATTGAGGGCCGGCAGGTAGATCTGCGCCGTGAGCGGCGAGAAGAAGGCCCCGATGGCGGCGCCGATTACAATCCCCCTTTTCTCCCACTCCGTGAAGATAGTGTAGTCGGGGCGCTGGTCGAGCTCAGGTTGCTCGCTTGGGGGCTCGGCATCAGCATTAGCATTGGGGTGAGTTAGCGGCCCGCCGGCCTCTTTGTCTTCTGGCGACCTCGTAATATCGGTGTCGAAGCCATTTTCGTGAGCCTTTTCCGCCGTGGTAGATTCGATGTTGTTCCCTCTGTCGCTAGTACGTGAAGAAACATCTGACATGACTTGGCTAGCTAAAGATTGGTTTAAATCTTGAGGTTCTCCGAATTGCAGATCAAGTCTAGTCTGCGATTGGATCCCCTCTGCTTAAATACAATCTCGAATAGGTCGAGAGAGCTGTGTCATGACTTTTCATACGACGTCCGTTAGCCGATTTCGCTTAACTGGATTTCCGTTTTGGGGGAAATACGGCGGCTTTGGGCGGTGGCCGCTTAGTAGCCCGGAGCCGAGAGCGGCTTTGTGTGGTTCAAGCATTCAACCATGCAGGTACCACTTCGGGTACCAGCTCGGGTTATTTTTTAACCCAATAACTAGTCTTAATATATACCGATGCAAGACATCTCTATTAGGATTCTTATGCATTATGTCTCACTCGGTCAAAATTGGTAACTCTTCAAGATGTTTTACTTCCTGCGTCACGCCGGCGTCATAGACGATACACAAATAGGGAATTGGCAGGTTGCTCAATAGCCGGTTGACGCTTATTGAGATTTGAACTATGGGGTAGGACACGGAAATAAGGGGTCATTTCCGGGGCAAGCTCTTACTCCATCTCAGGTTCAGGAGACCAGTATCCCGCAGGCGCATTGCGGGATTAGGGAACGAGTAATAATAATAATAATAAAAGATAAAAAAAACTCTTCAAGGCCCAGCCCAGGATCTGTAAACCGGCTCCTGGCTACTGCGCCCCCGCTATTGGGTATTTCTTTGCCACTCTTTTTCAAGCCCTAGACGGTGTGCAATGTCTAGGAATCGAACCCTAGACCACCCATTGCAGGTGTGGTCGTTAAAGCAGGTTCGACGTGGTATCTGTGACACTAACCAGTCGGCCACTCTGTGTGTTCAGGCCCTGGTGTCAGTGTCGCCGGTTGAAATTTCATGACTGTATTGTGTTATTTAAGCTTCACTTTGGGGACAGTAAATTTCTGTTGGCAAGCATTGGCCACTAGGGACACGATAATAGCACAAAAGGCACGGTACGTGTCGCGATAGTTAAGGTCATATGGTCTAAGCGTCATACACCTACAATAACTTTGATACAGTGCCACGCTGTGGTCCTCCCTAAGATCACATATCCGAATAACCATCATACCTACGTGTTAACATCTTATAAGTATCTATAGACACCTACTAGTTAAGGGGGTAAGCATAAAGTTGATGAGTTAAGAAAACAAAGCCTCGAGAGGCTATTGATAGATGATATATTTATCAACTCCATTATCCCGCATTAGGGAGCGATATATTTCAATTTACTTAGGTTGTCAAACGGATTTATCATGTAGATGGGGTAGGTTTCGGGGAGTTCAACCCGTACCTAGAATAGTTCCACATTCAAGAAAGGAGTTAAGATGAGACAGGGCTGTTCCGGTGTTGCTGTTCTTCCAATAACCAACAAACCTTTTAACTACTACCATTTTCTTTCAGAATAGTTCATATAGAATGCTAGTTGATCTTGACCGAGAACCTGGTCAAGCGGTGAAAAAGATCAAATCTTTCGCTTCTGACGACAATTACCCCGTTCCAAAGGACCAGGGGTGCTAAGGGATACTCCTCTTCTTGTTTGATTGCCTTACCAGAACATTAAAAACACCACGAAGCCTAAGCTGGCAATGTCGAATAGGGGTGCATTATTGAACTCACGTAAGTGTCGGGTAACATGATGATGAATTCCATTTGCGTGACAGATTGATGATATGAGTGAGAATGGATAAGGGCGGCAATTCCCAAAATCAGTATGCAACAAATTTATTTGTATGGTTGGATTAGGTCAAAAATTAGATATACAGGAGTATGATGAGAGTGGCAGAAAAAACCTACGGGAAAAAACGGTTAAGTGACAAGCAAGGTAGAAAAGGAAAATACAAAATCGCAGAAGTGTTGCGACATGGATTTGAACATGACACCTTTACGTGGGCACTGGAATAGCAAAAAAGTACCAACCATTGAAGGCACTCCTAGGCCCAGCCTCTGATCTATAGCGTCAGAGCTACTGCGCCCCCTATCTGCGCCTCGTCAGCAACCAGAGGAAGAACACGTCTCTGGAGGCTGCGAGCGTATGGCAGAATCGCAGGGTATTTAATTTGCGGCTCCTTTTCAGGATTCGAACCCAAGACCTTTGGGGAGGTTTTGAGTCCGTGCCGTGTCTGAGGCGTCAACCAACTACACCAAGCTATTGCTAGGCTCGTATCGCCGCTGTTGAAAATTCTGTCCGTTTTTTTGACTTATATGCCTAATCCAGTTGGCCAATGCGGCCGACGGTGAGGTTGGCGGGCAACAGAACACCTGGCACAGTACTCTTTGACCACCTGCCTCTGGCAGACTCGCGACTTACCTAACCATCTAAGTAACTACGTACCTAGGGGTCATTGACTTCATATTTAGATGGCATCCATGCTCCCATTTCTGATGATCTAATCTCGTAGATTGTTTTGTAAGGAAAACTATGCCGAGGTGATGGCCTCTCGTTAAGCCCGGTATCATAATCGGCATGCCCAAACACATGAAAGTATTCGACATATTCTATCATCTAGGCGTATATAATTTATTTTTACCCAGATACCTTGGTGGGTACTTTATAGGCTAACGACACAATAATAAGATGAAGTTTATTCATATACGAGTCCATTTTTAAAGTGATAGGAGATTTAAATGCCAACTGCCAAATTTGCTACAGATATACAGGTATGCTCAACATCCTTAGATCTTACAATATCGTATGTCATAATTAACGATATAAGACTTGAGGCAAAAAGTACTCCATATTTGATCAATCGCTAGTCTTCTTATAGGTCCATTTACCATCCACAACGATAATTCCAGCGGAGCCCATTTCAAGGAGCGACATGGCCTCTAAAGCAGATGCACTATTGGCAGCATGAAACATTTGCTGATCAACCACTATCATAATTCGGGATTTCCAATGCAATCTAAGTAGTTCTATGAATACGGATGTTGGTATTTGATGATCCAGAACGTGATAGTTGTTTGTTATGATTAGGTGACCACGATAAATAGGGATGGTCGTAGAGGGTATCACGTGATATCGATATGGGGAATAAACACAACGATGGCAGAGAATAGCCATAGAGTACTTACCGATGTGTGCAGTGACGAAGGTGTATTTAAGACACCGTAGTAAGTTGCCACAGCATTGTAAATGTCTGAACTAACCGAATTGCGTGAGTTCGTAGGAGTCATGGTCAAGTGCCACTCTCGATAACTTCGAGTTTGGATCCATTAATTCAAGATACATATATACAGACGATCAGCATGTACCGATAACAACGCCAACTAATTCGCCATATTAACCCGATATGAACGTTCAATGCGAGGTCGAATTTCACTTTTCGATTCCTTTTTTTCACCGGATGCAGCCTTTTTATGATGGCCCCCTATTTTACTTTTTTCTTCGAATATCTCCCCAGTGGTATTTTCATATGAAAAACAATTCGCCAACTGCCGATGCAATAAAGACTCATATAAAACAAGTTTCAGCTGTGTAAGCCGCAAGTTCTGGTGCGCATAAGCTCTCTGCGCTGTTTATCCTTTTCTGTTTTACAAGTTAGCTGACTAATCACATCAAAATAGGGGTAATGATGTGCTTACCTTGATCCCATACAAGGAACTCGTGTAAGCCAGAGCCTGCGGGCACCATGGGTAAGACAGGCACTTTCTTGTCTGTCATCACCTCCAAGAGAGCGGGGCCATCGGTGTTGATAAGCCATTCTAAGCTTTCTACCGTTTCCTCGGGCTTGATGAGTCTTCGGTGTTGGACACCCATGGCATCAGATAGCTTCATGAAGTCGGGGTTCTTCTGGTGCGTGTGCGCGTATCTGTCCTCGTAAAAGAGATTTTGCCATTGTGTAACCATTCCCTGTTCCTCGTTGTTCAAAACGATAACCTTGACACCGATGTTGAACTGCGCAGCGGTAGACAGTTCTGTAAGAGTCATGTTGAACGAAGCATCACCATCGATATCAATCACAAGGGCGTCGGGCCGAGCGACTTTGGCACCGATGGCGGCGGGAAGACCGAATCCCATAGTGCCCAGACCTCCAGATGAAACCATGGTTCGGGGTTGTCGCCACCTAAAATGTTGAGCTGTCCACATTTGATGCTGACCAACACCGGTCGCGATGATGGTGTGCTTGTTTTGGTTGGCTGTTAGCTTGCTGAGCTCCTCGATGAGGATCTGGGGCTTGATCATTCCAGGTCGTTCGGTACGCTCAAATGCATGCATGGGCCATTTTTCCTTCCATGAGTTGATCTTGTCAAACCACTCCTTACGGTCTTCCATGCTTTTTATGTTGATATTAGGAAGAAGCTGTCGTAGGTTCTCCGCGACATCGCCCTCAATAGCTTCGGTGGCTTGCACAACCTTGTTGATGTTCTTTGGCATGACCTCAAAATGCACGATACCACCTCGGCCTTCTGCAGCCGCCGCCTTAGCAGCAGGTGCAAATTTGGCAGTGTTAAGAGTCACACGATCATCGAAACGGGCACCAAGAGCGATGATAAGATCAGATTCCTGAATTGCCATGTTCGCGAACGCGGAGCCATGCATACCGAGCATATAGAGCGACTTTTCGTCCAACTCATCGAAAGCTCCGAGGCCGAGAAGGGTGGTGGTAACTGGTATCGAAGCCTTGTCGGCAAGCTCCTTGAGAACCTCTGGTCCGCCAATTGACGAGACAATACCCTGTCCGGCATAGATAACAGGTTTCTTCGCCACATTCACTAGATTAGCTACGCGTCGAAGAGATGCTTGGAGCTGCTTTTGAGTAGCCTCCATGGCGGCGCGTGACGCAGCGCTCGGTAAGCCTGGGAGAGCCGATTCGGTAGGGATAGCTCTCCTCAAAACGCCTGCAGTAACATCTTTGGGAAGATCGACGAGTACGGGGCCCGGGCGTCCGCTAGTCGCGATATCGAAGGCTTCGTTAATTCTGCGTGGCAACTCGGCGATATTCTTTACCATGACATTCCATTTCGTGCAAGCCCTCGATATTCCAATGACGTCTGCTTCTTGGAAGGCATCGCTACCAATAGCAGTAGTAGGAACCTGACCACAAAACACAACCATAGGTGTACCGTCAGATAGGGCATCTTGGATCGGTGTGATAACGTTGGTGGCGCCCGGGCCGGACGTCACTAGAACCACACCAGGCTTTCCAGAGGCGCGCGCATAGCCCTCAGCCATATGCCCCGCACCTTGTTCGTGCTTTGGCAGGATGAAATCGAAATGTTTCGAGTTATAGATAGCATCGAACACTGGCAGGATAGCTCCACCAGGGTATCCAACTATGACTCATATTAGACACAGTTCTGGGTTTCTGATAGTTTATGCAAAACATACAGATATGCTTGACGCCTCTTCGAAGCATCATTTCGTGGAAAATCTCTCCTCCAGTCTTTCCAATGAAGCTAGAATCTCTTAGTCAACTTCCTGCGCTTAAATGGAGCAGAAAATGGGTAGTGCATACGATTCGTCCATCTCAGGAGTTCGAGGATTGACCAAGGGTTGGACATGGCTTTGGTCTTTTGCGTCGGCAGTATTAAACGCTGGAGAAGGTACTTCTCTAGCTTGACTACAACCCGTCGCATTAGCATTGATCACGAAAAGCCATATGCGTATAGAACATATAGTGGCAGATGTAGGAAAATATCAACGCCAGCGTCAACAAGAGAGAAACGTCATCATACGCGGTTGATTGGGCTGAAGTAGCTTGATTCCTAATGCCACTCGGTACGGTCTTCTTAACCTGGATAGCCGAGGCGACTGGTGAGGTAGTAAATGAGCAGCGTTGCTGTCGCGAAGCCTGAGCCAGAGCCCTAACGGCTCGGCTGGCTTGTCGAGTACGAAGCATGGCAGAAAGGGAGAAAGGGCAGAAAGAGGGGAGATTGGAGGAAGGGAAGAAAAAGAAAGATCGAGGAGGCGACGATATTATTGACGATTTGAGGGGAGTTCCCAACCAGAACCAGTCAATTGCAAAGGATACGCCAGACTCTACTCTCCAGTACCGTCACTGAGAAAAGGTGATTAATCAATGGCAAGAAAATGCGACGAAGGTTTTTGATCTAAGAGTCACCGAACGATTTTCATTGACCCGACTGCGGAACACAAAAAATTAGACACAAAGATTGTGGGGTTGTTGCAAGGGTTGCCCATGCAGGTGGCCCGTGTTATGCCTGCTAACCGCACCTGCGCAACCCAACTCGCATCGCAGATACCCTCGTTGTAGCCGCCACTGTAGCAGTGTAGCATTATGCCAGTAACCGGTGCAGTTTCCAGTGCTTCGGTGGCAATTGGCGATATCGGCATAATCCCGAAAATTTATTTAGCTGGTGATTGGCCCCCGTAAGCCGACTCAAAACTTCCTTTCTAGCGGTCTGGAACACCTATCTAAACGGTATTCTAGGGTCGTTTGGCTCAAGCTATCTAACCAGTAACGTCAGATGTCTTTCGAGTGTTAAATTCGACTTCGCCCCTCAAACTCGTTCGCACATTTACTTTAGTAAGTGTCTTGAAAGTGTCATCTAATTACTACACTAGACAGGTACCTATGTACTTACAAATGCCATGAATTATCTCCATTCCTAGGTAAGCACATAGTTCACCTCAATGCACGTTTTCGAGATAAGTGTAACAATAAGACGGATCAAAGTGCATGAGTGAGCGTGGTGTACTACAATGCTTATAGGTAACCATCACATGCTAATAATGCACCTAGATTAGATATTGAATTAAGGAGCATTACCTTTGTTTGCAACTCTTAAGTTTGAATATATTGAGACTACATAATATCTGGAAGTCAGCTACCAAAATAAACTATTAGTTGAATATAGGTAATGCTGCCAAAGCTTTTAATAAAAATGTACCCAGGTATTGATATCAAAGAACGTGCTTGCATTAAAAAGTTTATAGGTATTTGAGGTACCCACGTACCTGGGCTTTGAGTGCGACGTCAAAGTATCCAATCATTTTCAATCAAAACTTTCCCTCCAACAAATCAGATTCACGTTAAACAATCACATTAGAACTCTTTCGGTACCCTTTCCCCACTAGAATTTCATCTTCTATAGACGGCTGCCGTCACTATTTCACATGAACGCTTGGTGATATAAGGGTTTCAATTGCACATCTACGCAGGTACCTATCCGGATGGACGTATTATGAGTGCGCCAATCTACACAGCGTCTACCGCGAATGTCGATGAGGATATTCTCTCCATCACAGTCCATCCGAGGTAATACGCTCACGATTTGATAATTCCAACTCCAAACAATGCGTCTTCGAAAGTCCAACAAAGAGGTACATTTCAACGCCAGTAATATTCTAGATATTTCCGATGGAGAGCAATCGACCGTGGCACATCAAAGCCGCCAATCATCTGATGATGAGTTCGTAGTGGCCGCTCAGCAGCAGCTGGACGATGAAGATGAGCATGATGTTGTCCCAAACGACTTGTCCGATTTCGAAACACAAAAAGGCAAGAAGTCGGAATCAAAGCGAAAGAGGAACCGGCGCTCCTGGGTCCCGACAAATGCAGCTAACTCATTAAGCAAAGTTCAGCCCTACCCAACAGATCCATCTCAGAAATGGACAAGAACATATGTTGGCCCAGTAAAGAGATGGACACGATTACTCTATCTAGTGGATTACTGGTTCGGCGACATGGAGAACCGTAGGGAGATATTCAACGGATTCATGAACCTCTGGTTCAATTTCCAACTCATTCCTCCTAAACTTCCATTAGGATCCCGCCAGTTGGAGTTGGCAAGAAATGGATGGATGCCTGACGACTTCGCCCAGGATATGGAAGATAAATTTCGCAGTTGGTATCTAAGATATCTTTCCATGACAACTACACCACAGGTACCAACTGTAATCGACAAGACCAAGGCATTTCGATGGTTTCTTCCACAGACCAAGAGCGACATGGGTGTTTTGCTTGGCCATGTATCGAACCAGAAGGAATACCGCATCAAGCAAGGCGAATCTATACCATTCTCCGACTGCGGAATACCGATCGAAGATGAAGGCAACCACAAGGTACAAAGTGGAGGTTGGCTACTTGACGTGGGAGGCATCGTCCTCTCTATGGGATGGGCTCCTATCAAAGGGGAGGTCGACCAATTCCTAGCTATGGCAATCATCCCATATGCAGACCAGGCTTATTATAAGAATCTTGATGATATACCCAAGGGATCGGAGTTGAAGGAAGGAAATATTCAAATTTGGAAGTTCGAAGCGGAAAAAGATCATAAAGGCGTTCTCCGACCAGCACATTCTTCTCCGAAATTAGCCCATGCGCTATGCTTTCATTGGGGAAGGGCACTGCGAATGCAATGGTGTCCGGTTCCGCTTTCAACCGATGACAATATAGCTCTGATAGCCGCGCTATGTGGCGATGGGACGTTGAGGGTTATCAAGATCACACTTGGCACAGAGAACGATGGCGACGGAACATTTGGCAAGTACTCATGGCACTATTCACAAAGAGAATGTTTGCTAACATCATGCTAGAGGAATTGCAGGAGCCGATGGCCACTATCAAGCCCCCTAAAGAGTATACCCTGGAAATCAACTGCTTTACCTGGTTGAATATGAATCGGATTGCTGTTGCTCTTTCGGATGGATCGGTAGTGGTATGGTCTATTTCGCCCTGCCTGCCTCTGATGCGCCACCCTGTCCACGGGAGCCCTATTATGGACATCGTATCCGGCTACCCTTCTAGTCCCTTTATCATCGCAACAATGCCAATGGGTGGAATGTTCACCTTAACTGATCTAAACCGACCAACTGCAGAGAAGACGTATCACGGCAATCCCGTGGTTTCTCTTCAACCAAATACCCTTGTGTGGAACGACCACTTACGAGGTTTCGCATCCATATGGCCCACATCTTTTCCGGGAACTTCTACTATTTCCTTCGTACACTCTCGGGTATTCCCTCTATCTCGTCACATATGTACCGTCGAGGGACAGACGATGTGCCTTGCATTTGGAACGTGTCATCCGTACCTCCTCGCTGGAAGCTCGGATGGCTCTGTTTGGGCTCTCAACGTCTTGCGCAAAATGTCATCACACAGGGACAAGACGCACAAACTAAAAATATTCCAGCATGAGTATTGTGCACCGAGACCACTAGGCACCGAGACCGACAATGACGAGCGAAACTCGCGCCGTGGCACATGCCGTATCCTCCATGGCTTTCTTCCGCAGGTAAATATACACCCTCTCGGTGTGAGAGTCGCGAAGGAAAGCAGAGTCAAACGGGCCAAAAAAGAGAAGGCTGGTAAAGGAAAAGCCAAGAAAGCAGATGATGGTCCCGTGTCTGATGATTCGGAGCGAGAAGATGACGATAACTTCACCATGGTACCGGGACCAATTACTATTCATGAACCTTTAACCCGTATTACGGCCTTGTCGTGGAATCCAAATGCTGAATTCAGCTGGTGGGCTGCGGCTGCAATGGGCTCCGGATTGGTAAGAGTTACGGATGTCGGTATTGAAGATGATCAAGAAGGATCACACGAACACCGCGGAAAGTCAGAGTCCGTTGACCCAGGAGATGCAACGGCTGGTGACATTGATGGCCTCGATGATGAAGATGAGATGGGAGAAGAGTCAGATGCAGATATCAATATGATGCTGTATGACTGAGTTGATGTCCAGATAAGGTCAGACTGGACGTGAGTTTATGGGTGAATTTCAATCGCATACAGATGATACCCGGTGCCCTAAGGGCATCTTTAGCTAAAGATTGAGCTTATTTTGCAATTTTCTTACCTGGTTACTGATCTTGATGTGCCTTTTAATAATCCAGTATATTCATCGCCTTCGGCACGTTCCAGGGCCCAGCAACATTCGGCACTGTAACATATTTATGCCTGTAGTTGAAGCTTAAAAATACCTAGTCAGCATAGTAAACGAATCTCTACGTAAATACATAGATGAATATATCTTACAAGTCTCACAGGCCCCTAAGTGGCAAAACCCGGATTAACCTCAACCTCAACTCTTCCTCGGTTTGGGGGTTTCTAGCACTGGCCACCCATGGTACTGTGGTGGTAGTCGAAAGCCTTAACCATGCCAGTCAGATGCGTTGCTGCGGCGAATAAGATTAGGATATGGAACAACTGATGAGAGCTACCCCAAATGTCAAAGGTTCGCGGGAAGCTTCTTTCAGGCCATCGAACCCATGGGAGTGTTAGTATCTTGTCGTAGCGGGATAAAATTGCTTCAACTCACTGCATACTAAAGCACATACAGTTAGCGACCGTACTCACCAAAATGTTTTCGCGAGGGTTAGCTAATGGCCTCCGAGCCTGTGAAAGAATAAAAAGGAGATACTCACTAAGAAAGCCCCAAAGATATATAGGAACCCTTGAAACAAAACCCAATTAAGACCCATGCGTTCATTGAGTGATTGATAACCATAAATGGTCAGACCGTGGCAGACAGGGACGAATCCAGATACACCCAGGCCGACGAACATAGCTGCTCGATAAGGTCTCCAAAGTGGTGTTCGAAACTTTTCAACCCAGGATACTAAGCCGCAACCTAGACCTAAGGTAAAGATCTATAGGAAAACATATCATCAGCACTAAGATTTCCCAAGGCCCCACCGAAAGAGCACGTAGACTCCCCGAGCCTGACTAAGAGGATAGGGTTACTTACTCCGTACAAGTAGAACTCCATCAAATGCGGTAGACAGAATAGTGCGTAGTAGAGCGCCGGGATGAAACTCCCTACAATGAGAAACACGATGCCGGAGTAGTCCAGCTTGTTTCCCCACTTCGAAACCTCCTCCGAGTGGTTCGAGATAGCATCTGTGCACTGCGGGTTAGGCTCTCATAGGCACACGATATCTTACTTTGACAACACGTAGAAACGAGATTGAGTAAGCTAATAAGACGCCAGTTACTTACTGCTCGTCAATTAGTAAACTCTCAAGAAGGAAGGATAGGATAGGATAGGGAATAAAGTCCAGCATTGGATAAGATGGAAAGATTAAGTCGGAACTCACCGGTAGGTAGCGCTCATACCAAGGCACATCACAGCGCCGGCGAAGAAACACCCGAAAACGAGCACATCCGATGCGTTCGCGGACACGTACCGCGGTGCGATGACATGGTACAACCAGGCACCCACGGCGGGGAAGATCAAAGCGCCGAGTAGGTGTGTCCAGATGTTGACGAACTCGTTATGCACGTAGAAGAGCGAGGTGAACGATAACCAGTAGCTGTTGCTGTCACGCCGATACCCCGTCTCGATAAAGTGGTTGTCGCGCCGCCAGGAGGGTAGGTCGTCCCATAGGACCGTGAGGGCTTCGGCGATCTTGTGTTCTACGTCCACGGCGACCTGCGCGAGCTTGGAGGCGGAGGAGGAGGACCGCCGCTTCCGGAGCCCGGAGTTGGCTTGTTCGGTTGTCTCAGTCATGGTGCGTTGCGGTTGCGTCCCTACTAGTACGGGGAATCCTAGCCTCACTTCTCACCTTCCACTTCCAATTTACCTAATTAATTAAATGAATTATAGGGGTCTCATGTGTCGACATAAAAAAAATGAATAAAAAATCTAATGTCTAAACGAACGGGGACTGTTCTAACTCAATTCCAAAGTTGTTGGGCTTGTACAGGTTAAAGAATTGTTGAGAGGGCAATTGTGGCTCTTAGGTGGTCTAAGGTACCTCGGAAACCCGGGCTGACAGCTGATTTCGCTTGGTGGGTATACAGATCTTGTCTAGTGCGATTGGAAAAGTTATCGAAGATCCAGCCTGTGCCTGCCAGCCATGCAGCCATGGCAAAGCATGTGATCCCCCGTGAGTTGATAATCGCAATGGCATATCAGAGGAAAGGACGAGTGTATGGATTGGTGTATTGAGCGTCATAGCGTAAAATATTCCCTGAAACCCCATGAAACCCGGCAGCAATATGAAAATCATGTCTATCCTTGAAGCGCCTACGCTGTATGCATCCGTATTCTCAGCGTCATAGCTTCGTTGCTTCCGTGAACCGCGGAGTATCGGGTGTCTCTTATTTCTTGCCGCTCCTCTTGATGCCCTGACTGCCGCTGTTCAATGGTCCCTTGCCACCAGCCTTCTTGGCCATCTCTGCGCGTGCCTTCTCGTCTTGACGATCTGGGTTAGCGATATGTAATATGGATGCAATTGGCTATTGAGGGAGCATACCAGCTCGCTTCTTCTCGAGGAAAGCCTTGTCGTCCTCATCGAGGTCCTTGTTCTGTTTCTTGGGAGCCTTTAGAGGCTTAATCTTGCCGCCTTGCGAAATATCGGTGTCAGCAAAACCCTTCGATGATCATGGGGTGATCTTGGTGAAATACCTTCTCTGTTCTGGCCACCCATCTTGAAGTGAGATATTTGCGCACGGGTGTATTTGTTATTTGTGGGATCGTAAGAGATGCCAGACAGAATTTACCCGCCAGAAAAGACGGAAAGAAAAGCAGTCGCGAAAGTAAAAGGTCAAAGTCAAGCCTAGAACATTAGAATTGTCAGCCAAAACGGATGCGACCGCGGGGCAGCCGAACAATTGGAAGGGTCTAGCGCTTGGACCATGTCAAAATTGCACTAAAACAACTTAATGCCGGTGAAACTTGATCCACTCTTGCTGGAAGATCCACATTGGCAGCCACGCTACCGGGACTCGGCCGTACATAAATCCTTTTGTTGGAAGGCGTAAAGCGCACAGGCAGCCCTGCTATCAATGTTTCTAACGTGAGTCGTTTTATCAAAGTCGTCACTACTTCAATTCAACACTTGAATCGATTCAAGATTTTCGGATCTAGCAACATCCATCACCCCCACGCGACGTCTAACTCGTGACCTTTTTCTCCATTTCTCTTCTCAGACCACGTTCCCGACGACACATTGTATATCTCTGTATCATTTCCTTCACCACCTGAACCTGAACGACCTGATATATGATGCGACGGAATTGAAAAGACGTTTTGACGGTTCGGCTCAATTCTGCACCTTCAATATTTGACGATTTTGTGGCTGACACACATTCCCCTGCCCCAAAGGTCCGGAAGTTATCGTCCAGGTACTTCTTAGAGGCCTCTATCCCTTAATATAGTGAGCAAAATGGCAACTCCCGCTGCCAGTTCTGACGAGGGGGAAATTGTGGAGAATGGCGTTGGAGACTTGAAGGCAACTTCACTGGCTCAGCTTGAAGGAACCGATGTTGACCGTGCCGACAGAACTCGAGCTAGATATTCAAGATCGAGATCACCCGAATATGTAAACGGCTCGAGATATCCTCCCAGCTTATCTCGACGAAGTCGCTCTCCTCGCGGGCATAAGCGTCCCCACGATGATCGTGATCGTGATTCGCATCGTGGCGGCCGCGTAGACGCGGATCCCCGACGATTTCGCGTCCATTACGAAGACACTGCCGACAGTCACCGCCGCCCGCGCTTCTACGAAGACGAAGATCGTCCTCCTTCGCGTTCATCAACTTCCGCCCTCCATTACGACGACAGGGATAGAGATTATGCATCTCGTAGCAGAGGCGGGGATCGAAGCCGAGACTACGACCGACACATTAAAAAGCGTCCTAGGAACCGCTCTCGTTCGCCATTCCGGCCATTGCGGGGCGACAGGAACCGAGGCGGCCAATCTCGTCGTGATGACAGCAAATATCAGCGCGCTTCTGATAGGAATGGCGTAGAAGGCGTTAAGTCGAGCAGGCAAGGCACTCCTCGACATCCTCAAGACAATGCAAAGTACCCAGAGCGAAAAGCTCCTGCGGATACTACAGGTACTGGCAAAGATAAGACTAAACGTGCACCAGGTAGTTCAGAAGCAACTACTCCTACTGATCCACCGGCTCGGTCCGATGAGCCTGAGAAGGAGTACGAAGAGGATAAACCCGTCGACATAGATGCTGAATTAGAACGTAGACGTCGTCGTCGCGAAGAACTTCTTGCTAAGTCGCGTGGTGCCACACCCATGCTAGTACAAGCTCTCCAAGCATCAGAGAAGACGAATGGATCATCGACAGGGGGTAGTCAAACAAGGGCAAGCACGCCCATGGCTGTCGATGGAAACACTCCTCGATCCAGTAAGCAACTCTCTGTTCTCAGTCAGATTAACCCATCATTAACATTACCTACAGTTACTACATCACCAAATTCTCCGGCCCGTGGTCTTCAAGAAGGAATGTCGCCTGCCGCAATTGAGATATCCAGCGACCAAGAACTTATCAACACGCATGGCAAATTTAAAGGTACTGATGAAGATGGTCCTTCTGCAGCAGACTACGATCCCACGGTAGACATGAGAGAGGATGAGTTACGAGATGAGCGTCGCCATGGCCATATCGGTCCCCATGGAGAGGTGCTCCCTTCTAATCAGAAAGCTGAGATAGCCGTGGTAGATGAGCCGCAGACACAGGAGAAGTCAAGAACAGATGAAGACGATGACTTCGACATGTTTGCTGAAGAGTTTGACGAAGAGAAGTTTGCTGCGCCGAAACCTACTCACCTAGATGCCGCCGCAGACAATGGCGAAGTTCCTGTTCCCATTATTCACGCCAATGCTGGTGGTATCCTCGAAGGTGACGACAAAGAGGGATATTACAAAATCCGAATTGGTGAGATCATGGACGGTCGATACCAAGTTCAATCAACTCTTGGTAAAGGCATGTTTTCCGGTGTTGCCCGAGCCATGGACATTACGAACAAGAAATTGGTCGCCATCAAGATGATGCGAAACAACGACGCCCTCAGGAAAGGAGGCTTTACTGAGATCGCGATTTTGCAGAAATTAAACGAGGCCGACCCTGAGAATCGTAAGCACATTGTGAAATTCGAGCGTTACTTTGAACATAAGGGTCACCTTTGTCTAGCATTTGAAAATCTCAGCTTGAACTTGAGGGAGGTTTTGAGGAAGTTTGGCAACAATATCGGTATCAATCTAAGTGCAACACGGGCATATGCACACCAGATATTTGTGGCTTTAGCTCATCTTCGGCGATGCAGTATTATTCACGCTGACTTGAAGCCGGACAACATCTTGGTGAGCCTTCCCAGAGCGCAACATATGCTGAGCTGTTACTAATTATTTCCAGGTCAATGAAAATCGCAACGTCCTTAAGATCTGTGATTTGGGTACGGCTATTGATAGATCAGATGCTGCAACTGCGAATAACGAAATCACACCGTACCTGGTCAGTCGATTTTACCGAGCACCAGAGATCATCCTCGGGATGCCGTACGACTACGCCGTTGATATGTGGTCCATAGGCTGCACATTGTATGAGCTCTATACCGGCAAGATTCTATTTACGGGCGACAGCAACAACCAAATGCTTAAAGCAATAATGGAGATCCGTGGCAAGTTTAGCACCAAGCTGTACAAACGCGGCGAATTATCCCATATGCACTTTGATGAGGTTGGTAATTTTATCAGCCACGAGAGGGATAAGGCGCTTGGAAAGGTACGTTACTATTTTCTTGGTCGCAAATTGAACCCTTCATGTTTCTATTTATATACGGCGTTTAGTAACGCTTTTCTGGAACATAACCGGTTATGGAGGCCAGGGTACTGCTGCAAGCTGCAGGCAAGTCACATCAAAGCGAATGCATTCAGGACGATAGCCGCACAGAGACCCTCATCTACGTCCATCACCGCCTTCCTACATCTAGGATTTTATCAGCGGGTCTAAGTGGAATCCTACGATCATATTCAGCTATAACTTGTCTCAGGTTGGAATGCATACAACGCGCTTACAACCCAAGTGCCACCCCGGATCCGACGGCGTCGAACTGATGCTCTCGACCAACCTCTCACTAACCTAATCCCAATTTCGATCACACCCCGCGTCCTAGTTTCCTTCCGTCTCGTTTATCATGTCTAAAGTCTCAAAATAAATTACATGGTGCATAGTAACTAACAGGTGTGTAGACAACGGTACGAACTCTGGCTATTGTTAAGCCGACTCGTGATCTTCGCACTCGCCTCTTGGCCGCCTCTGGAGGCATGAACGATGTGGAGTCCAGGGATCTCAACCACTTTGTGGACCTCCTAGAAAGATGCCTGACACTCAACCCGGATAAGAGGATTACTCCAGCTGAGGCTCTGAAGCACCCTTTCTTCACAACTAAGCTTGCTGGACCCCAAAGGTAGAGCCATGTGGGACCACCGCGAATGTTGGGTCATAGTGGTGCCTATTAATATGCTGAATATACGGCATCTTACTAAACGTCTCACGCAACAGCAGACCTCTATTGCAGATTCCATTGGAACCCTTGGATTAACCCTCAGGGAGACGGGTGGAGTTATCGTGGTGACATGCAATGCGGCTACGTGATTCGCGCCGAGATACTTCGATAACAATGTGGGAATATGGTCGCCTCGAGTGGACAGTCTTTTTCTAAGGTTCTATTAATAGTGCTCTATCCATGACGCGTGGGGCTAGTCGGAGGACTTCGTTAATGTTATATAGTCCCAAAGAAGCCACACTATCCAGGCGCAAGGGGGGTAATGGATGCCGAAATGCCTTGATTTAGAATACAAGACAACACAATAAATGGTATAATCATGAGCTACCTATTTCTATAACCAATGCTGATTGATATATCACAATACAACCTAGACGGCGCTTCCATATAATTAGAAAAGGTAAAGCCGCAACTCCGTCCAGCGGTATTTAGACCATGTCAATACTACCCTTTTTCAGCCTTTTTGGCTCCGAAAACTCCTATTGGTCTTGATAGGGGCTCTGCATAAACGCTCTTGCATAGGATTAAGAGCTCGCTCTTCTAATGGTGCGACGACTGCCAAGTACGCATGTAGGATCTGGTGCTAATAGATGTTGGGACTTCCTGCGAGTGCTGCTGCATACGTACCTAGGTATGCTAGGGCCGATCCTTCCGCTTGTCTTCGCTGCGGGTCTGGGGCCGGCGGTAGGTAAGTTGGAGATGGCGTGACCGAGATGATGCCGTTGTATGTATTATCTAGTATGCGGCTAGATTTCGGCCGGATTCGTGGGATTGTTTTTGGTAGGTAGGTATGTTTTGTGCGGGTGGCTGGACTGTGGGTGGATGTGAGAGGATGGTAAGTTAGTACGGGACGGCGAATGGCGGAGCATTGGAAACTCGGCTGTTTGGAAGTGGAACCGTGTTATGGCGAGTTGTTTAACGGTATGTTGCCCCTTTTGACGATTTACCTGGTACGCAATAGTCACGGGGAAGTATCGAGTCACGTAGCAGGCGGGTTTGTTGCCTGCGGCTGAGTAACGATGCTAGGTTCTGATCCTCCGTTTTTGGATGTAGGAAAGAATTTGCGGTTTCCGTGACGCCCTAGGTGACCAAAGGCTTGCTATGATAAACGAGTGATCAGCATTACGGTAATAAATTTACCGTGAAGTGTGAATATTGTGTCTTGCGCCGTCTCTCTGCTGATCACCTCTCAAATAAGCTCATATAGTAGAATTCCGTTTAAGTCCTATTGCAGCACGCCGAGATCAAAATTTCATATTCCTACATGCCAGCTTCTCCTACGCCCCTATTCCCGTGGAGATTCATCTCGATACTCGCTCTACCTGAGCCGGCAAGATCGTTAAGCTTCTATAGGACCAGATTAGATGGTCCATGGTAAGGGTAGGAGTATACCTAGGTATCCATAACAAAAAAGATTCAGGTTATTATTCATATCCAATGCATGGAAAAGGCACAACATGCTGCCATATATCCATCGTAGCAATGCAGCAGACCCAACCGCCCGTCTCCTAGGTCCGATGCCTCGCATTGTCTGTGGGACCGGGCCAAGCAATTCGGGAAGGAATCTTGTGAGCGGCTACGACGCATGCGAGGGGCGTCATCCATCTTGAGCATTATATCTACTGATTCTCGAAGAGGTGGCGTCTGAGGGTACCCAAACCCCATTTCCTACAACGTCGTCATTTCTATTGGATGCCCCGATGCAAGAATTCTCTCTGTTACTAAGCCCCTTCAGTGATGACCCTGAACAGAATCCTCAGCTTCGATTTCCACCACATCATGTAACCTACCCACTTACCGCTAGTCTTCTCCTGACAAACGAGATGAATAAAACCATTGAAAACACTGTTAAGCACAGCATCAGGGAGGAATGGGGGACGATCCTGCAGTCGAGTGACAGATGATCGGCCGTCCCTGTAACCGGGTCTCCCGCACGCAGACGAGAGATGTCACTGGACCTAAGTGGGCTATTATTAGCCGTGCTTATCATCATGAACTGATGATTCCCGCCACCTTCGGCGCCCCTACGCTTTCGTTATTCGCGGCTCGCGAAGTACAATGTGCGAAATAAGACTGCGGTGGTACGTTCCCACGTAAACGCAATTGCCGCATCTGATTGGCAAACCTCGTACATACGTCATGTTATACCGCAGCCTGTAACACTGGCGCTCCCGAGGCTGAAGACAGAGGCTCGGGAGATGACTAATTGGTGAGATCTTAGCAGCTATCCGAATTACATCTCTAGCTACCTAGGTAGTTACCTACCGCCTACCTAACCTAACAGCTGGCTACATAGTAGGTGGTTAGGGATCACAAGCACAAGCCTCCCTCGGCAGCTCGCACAACTACAAGGTAGGCTACTACTTAGCAGTAGCATACGAATGGTCTGGACTTTGAGACGAACAGGGACTTAGACATGTAGGTAATGTGCATGCTAGTTATAGGGGGGCCCTAGACCAGGTGAGAAGACGCAATGCGGGTATCCGTCCAAGTTCGTTCGGTTCGCTGCCGTGACCCGGGGCGGGTTGAGAGAGAGACAGGACGAAAAGTTGGTGCCACCGGAGCGTGTGTGAATGTTAGGAGGCTGTGCTCATCGCCACCGTCTGTTACGCGCGTTTCGTTGGGCCAGAACAACACGGCGGGCTCGAAACATCATGCTTCTTCCTTCCTTCCAGCGTGCTAATCGATGGCGTGCGTAGGATGAACCACAGACGTAGGTGTTGGTATCAAGATCCCATTAATTCGAGCTCGGGTGTAATTCTACGCCGGCTTTGGGGCATGCTAATCGATAAAAGCAAATGCCTGGCCATTGACATTCTAAATATATCCTTCCAGATTCATGCGCGCAAAGCTACGGGGGCCACGTAAAGTGGCCGCCGCCGCCGCCGCCGCCGCCATCAAAGCCTAGGCCGAAGGAAAAATGGCCTGCGCCCTTAGCGCCCCCGACCTACGAAACCGGGGCCTGCCAACTAAAACGTGGCGGGAAAGCGTTGAGACCTTGGAATAGGTACGTCCTGATATGTGTAAGTTAGAACTTGGTCTCAGATCGCAAACGAAAACCGAGCCGCAGATTTCACGACATGATGCATAGACATACATCCATGGGATGCGTGGGAAGGTAGGTAGTTAGACAGGCGGACGGGACCAACAGATTGCCCAGATATCGTTGCCGCCCCAGTGGCTGTGCCACGTTCCCTCGCAGGGCGTACGGGAGAAAGACGCACGCACGCATGTATGTAGGTATGCGGCTATGTCTCAAGCCGGGCGGTAAGTTTCGTGCGTTTCGCAGGATAGATTCACGGACGGCAAAATGAAGGAAGTTCAACTTGATTTTCTTATGGCGGAGTCTTACTTCTAGTCTAATGTACGGAATATGCACACGCCTATCTACGTATGTACGTAGTAAACCCACTTAAGCCGTTCGTTGGAGAGTCAGACAAAGCTTTCCCAACTTAGCAGCTTGGGTGACATGTTGGGTCTGTCCATGTGTTGCTTGGCTTACTATACTGTACCGTATTAGTGACACTTCCAGCCGTTCGGGATAATGACCGGCGGCTACCCGAAACCCGCGTCAAACCCTCCCCCATGGTAGTAGTAGACCCGATGGGTTCCCCATGCCGGCGCCCGGCCGCAAGCGACATGTCAGATCTGGCGGCCGGCGGGTCGAAGTTGGCGCGGCCACTACTGTGCTCCGGGATCCAACACAACCCGTTCACAACGTACGGAGGGGTGAGTAAGGGGCATCCGTAAACGGTAGTACAGGAGAGACAGTCATTCTCCACCCTATCTATCCTGTAGATGTCGCCTAAGTGTGCATATGCCGTGCGTACGTGTAAGTCATAACGACGCAGGAGAGGCTGGGAGAGTTGGCTCCGCTAGCTCCAGTACCATGACGAAGGAGTGGGAAGATCGTGATGTAAAAGGCTGGGCTAGCATAGAGAGGAAACATGACATGCTCAAGCAAGGGACGTCTGAGACAGAGAAGAGGCTGAGATTGAAATCATATCGAACCCGGCCGGCACATCTAAGGAGCGCCAATGAGGACGCTCGTTGTTATTATTACGCGCAATTAAGAAACCGGACCGCACGCCTCGCCGATCGGCACCCAATTACGCAACCGGGCACGGCCTGGGAGGGTAAATCTCAAGTCGCTCATGACGGCAACAACGTCGGCGGAGTCCCGTATTTGATTAATTATCGAATCCTCCCAATATAACCCCAATTTCTTGGTGTTCCTGACCTGCAGTTTCGGGTCGGTATCGTTTGAGGTCTCTACGATTGCTTGTTTTGCTACTTGTGATATGAAGCCTTATCCCTCAGTCGCTCCTTGCATTTTCGTAATTATGACTGCTTTCATAGAAGGGACACAGCAATATATTAAAGTTGGCGATCCTGACGTATCGTGATGCCGCTGTTTGTTTCGTGTGCTTCGTCTCGGCTGTAACAGGTGCTTGGGGCCTTGCATGACGTCGGTGAGGAAAAACCAACCATGCCCTTGCAGAGTGTGTTTAAATAGATAGATGTGGCTACTCTTGGGTTTTTTCATTGGCCATGGCACACGATTTTGATGCTAATTTCATACGTTTGGTCTCACCTTACACTTACAGTATATACTGCAATTGTGATGATGCGCTTTTGTAACCTGCGATTCGCTGCGCTGTCATGCCCTTCAGGGCTACAAACCTGACATCATACACAACAAATATACAACCGTAAATGAGGCACAGCGTAGGGACAACGGTCTACTCGGCGAAAGCGACTCGGACCTGCTCATGATACTCACTCTCGGGTAGTAATATCGCAGCATCCCTATTGGCGATATTGGTGATTGCGACACAAGCAGTCACATTATTCAATCCCATCCACTCAGAGATCGCAGAGATCGTTGGATTGATGGACCGTGATATGTAGAAGCGGTGATCCAGCTTGATCTAGAGTGCCCGGTGCTAAACCGAAGGTGGAAGTTAACAGGTTGGGAGGCGTACTGCGTAGAACAATTCGAAGATCAACATCGAAAAGTACCACGTGTAGTAAGGAATTGCAAGAATAGAAGAAATATACTCAAAAACTTCGGCGGAACTCTTCCGGGAACGGGAGGGGCAGAGCACTGTGGGCGACGATCCCAACGTCAAGAGGACGGGGTCCGCGACGGCTAAGGCAGTTCCCATTGGGGACCCCACGATCCAATGACCGTGCCTAGACGCATCCTCCCTCATTGCAGCATATCTCGGAATGCATCACCGCCTATCAACAACAAATCGACGGCAGACGCTAATGGTGCGACATGGGCACAAAGAAGCGCAGTGGCCTTTGCTCCCTCGCTAGGCATATGAAGGG